GGTTCAGCTTGAAGGTAAGGATGAAGACTTGGAGAAAGGATAATTTCATACTTATGTGAGACTTTTCGCTCCGCAGGGTATATCTATCTCGAAGCACTGACAAAGATCAATCAGGTTCTGCAGATGTTTGATGAGTTGTCAATTCACATGATTAAGGATGAAGAACCTAATGAGAAGGTCCCTATGGTGTATCCAGTACTGCTAGGAGAGGAGCTGCTCAATTGGACAGCTACGAAATTACCTATCATCTTTAAATCTTTAAAAATATAATGAACAATTTCACCAAAAAGCCTATGCCCAAGGGCATTAAGAGTAGTTTATTGCTTAATATGGACGTTCTGTTACTTTAATCATTCAAATAAATAACAAGCATAATGTTTTCATCATCTCATTTATTATCATCCTCTCTTGCACATACCATTTTCATAATTTTTCCTTTAACCAATAAATGATTGCCTATATATATCCAATTTCGCTTCTTTACAAGTCTCTAAATAATGAATACGAAGAAAATTTAAAGAGCAATCAAAATTTTGATCTTGAAAAAATGCCCAGTATTGATGAATTGGAAAATGAAGAAGAGTTGAATGATTGTGATTTACCCTCAAAATTGTCAAGGTTGTTGAAACAGGAAGAAAAAATGATTTTACCCCACCAGGAAACCACAGAACTGGTTAACTTGAGAGATGAAGAGGATAAAATGGAAGTTAAAGTCGGTGCTTCACTATTATTTGATGAACGACAAAAGTTGAAAAAGCTACTCTATGAATATGTTGATATGTTCACATGGTTATACCAGGACATGCCGGGTCTTAACACTAGCATTGTTGTACACCAATTACCATTGAAACCAGAGTGCAAACTAATTAAACAAAAGCTGAGACGGATGAAGCCAAACATGTTGCTAAAGATTAAAGAGGAGGTAAAGAAACAATTTGATGCCAGGTTCTTGGAGGTGTCCAAGTATCTTGAGTGGGTGGCTAACATAGTCCCAATCCCCAAAAAGGACGAAAAGGTTCGAATGTGCGTAGATTATAGGGATTTGAACAAAGCAAGTTCGAAGGATAGCTTCGCTTTACCACATATCGTTACCTTTGTGGATAACACAACAAGACACTCTTTATTTTCATTTATGGATGGTTTCTTTGGATATAATCAGATCAAAATGACACTTAAAAATATGAAAAAGATGACATTGGTAACCATGTGGGGAACGCTCTATTACAAAGCTATGCCGTTTGGACTAAAAAACGCAAGCGCCATTTACCAAAGGGCCATGGTAACCTAATTTTATGACATGATGCATAAAGAAATAGAGGAATTTGTAGATGACATGATTGCAAAATCTCGGAGGGAAGAGGATCACATTACTAATCTTAAGAAGTTGTTCGAGAGATTACGAAAGTTTCAACTTAAGCTAAATCTTGCAAAATGCACCTTTGGTGCTACGTCTGGAAAATTGTTGGGATTCATAGGAAGCCAAAAAGGGATTGAAGTAGATCTAGACAAAATAGGAGCTATCCAAGAATCACCACCTCCCAAAACACAAAAAGAAGTGAGGTTTCTTAAGGAGGTTGAATTACATTGCTCAATTTATATCCCAACTCACCTCTAAATGTGACCTGATTTTCAAACTGCTTCAAAAGCGTGACCTGGGAGAATGGAATGAAAAATGTCAAGCAACTTTTGATAAAATCAAAGAGTATCCCATTAAACCACCAGTGCTGGTACCACCAATAATCGGGAGATCTCTAATCTTGTATTTGACGGTGAATAAGAATTTTATGGGGTGTGCTGGGGCAACATGATGAAACAGGCAAGAAAGAACATGCCATATACTATCTAAGCAAAAAGTTCACCAAGTATGAGTCCAAACATTCAGCACTTGAAAAGATGTGTTGTGTACTGGCATAGATTGCTCATAGGCTCCGGCAATATATGTTGTATCGTACATGACTGGTAGCAAAATTAGATCCCATCAAATATATTTTTGAAAAACCATCTTTGTCCGAGAGAATAGCACGATCACAAGTCCTATTGTTTGAATATGATATTGTGTGCGTGTCCCAAAAATCCATTAAAGAGAGCACCATTGCCGATTTCCTTAGAGATCGAGCCATGGATGATTATAAGCCCGTAAGTTTTGATTTTTCGGATGAAGATCTGATGTCCATTTTGCAGATAAATGAAGAGTCGGGCAAACTTAGCCCTTGGAAGATTTATTTTGATGGAGCATCAAACGCTTTGGGGCACAGAATTGAGGCAGTTTTGATCTCCAAATGGGAAGTATTATCCAGCCATCGCAAGATTAAATTTCAATTGAACCAATAATATGGCAGAATACGAGGCATGTGTAATGGGATTACGAGCGACAATCAACATGAAGATTAACACAATAGAAGTCTATGGAGATTCTATTTTGGTGATATGTCAAATGCGAGGAGAATGGGAGACAAAGGATTCTAAACTGACTCTATATCAAAAGTTGATTACAGAATTAAGCAAACAATTCAAAAAAATCAGCTTCAATCATTTACCTCAAGAAGAAAACCAGATTGCTAATGCCTTGGCCACCCTTGGAGCCATGTTCAAAATAAATGAAGCGTTCGATGTACGTCCTTTTAATTTGGGAATCCATGAAGTCTTTGCACACTGCTTGAATATTGAAGAAGAAATGGATGGTAAACCATGGTATTATGATACCGTACAATACATAAAACACCAGACATATCCTGATAATGCTACGAAAAATGACAAACGAATTCTTAGAAGATTAGCAATGGGCTTCTTCCTCAGCGGAGAGATACTCTACAAAAAAAGTTGAGATCAAGTACTCCTGAAATGTGTGAATGCTACTAAGGCTAACAAAATAATAGAAGAAGTCCACGAGGAAACTTGTGGAGCTCATGCTAATGTACATATGTTGACTAGACAAATTATGAGAGCTGGGTACTACTGGTTAACATTAGAATCAAACTGTATAAACTTTGCTTAAAAATGCCATAAGCATCAAATTTATGCAGATAGAATCCATGCTCCACCAGTCCCATTGCACGTTTTCACAACCCTTTGACCGTTTTCGATGTGGGGAATGGATGTGATTGGGCAAATTACGCCAAAGGCTTCTAACGAACATTGGTTCATATTGGTGGTCATTGATTATTTCACAAAATGGGTAGAGATAGCTTCCTATGCTAATGTAAAACAGAAGGTCGTATGTAAGTTCATCAAAAAAGAAATAATAAGTCGATATAAACTTTTAGAAAGAATCATTATCGACAATGCAAGTAATCTGAATGGTGCGATAGTAAAAGAAGTTTGCGCTATGTTCAAAATCAAGCATCATAACTCCACAACCTACAGTCCATAATTGAATGGAACGATAGAGGCAACCAATAAAAATATTAAGAGGATCATTGACCAGTTGACTGAAGTTTATAAAGATTGGCATGAGAAACTTCCGTTTATCCTACATGCATATCGAACTTCTGTGCGAACCTCCATGAGGGCAACTTCGTACTCATTAGTATATGGAATGGAGGTAGTGCTACCCATTAAAGTGAAAATCCCATCCTTGAAAGTGTTAATGGAAAAAAAATTAAAAAATACTGAGTAAGTCCGCTCTTGTTATGAACAGTTAAATCTGATTGAGGAAAAAAAACTTGTAGCTTTTTGCCATGATCAAATGTACCAACGAAGGATGATGCAAGCATATGAAAAAAATTTTTATCTTAGGCATTTCCGAGAAAGAGAGCTGGTCCTCAAAAGAATACTCTGTAACCAGAAGGATTCTCAAGGAAAATGGACGTCGAACTGGTAAAATGCCATATATAGTGAAAAAGGCTTTTTCAGGAAGGGCCTTAATTTTAACCAACATGGATGAGAGAGACTTGTCCAATCTGATAAATGGAGATGCGGTAAAGAAGTACTATGCCTAAAAAAAAGAGAAAAAAATAAAAAAAAAAAGAAAAAAAATTGAAGGGATTCAAGTTGAAAATTCGAAAAGGACAATTCGAATCCAAAGGTGGTGGTTCATATTGAAAACTTGGAAAGGGCGACTTGAGGACAAAAAGAGGATTTGGGTGCGCCGCTGGATTAAGGGAGAGAGGGAGAAAAAGGTGCCACCGGTTGAAGTTTAGAGTTTTTGGGGAGGTACCACCGATTGGAGTTTGGGGTTCTTGGGCTGTTTATCGCCGGTGAGAGGAAAGGGAGAGGCGTCGGTAAGAGAAAGGAAAAAGAAGAACATGATTGTTGAACATTTTTTAGTTAAATAAGCAATTCTTTTTCTCAAGTCTCGAAAAGATGACATTCCAGAAAAGGTGTTACAATGACCAATCATTAGTTTAAAAACTTGCCCAAATGACAATAGAAATTCTCAACATACTTAAGATATTAAATGTCAATTATGATAAAATATTATTAATGTCACTTATGCAACCATTAGAAAATCAAATTAGAAACACGTAGAGCAGGTTTAATCTTAGAAAATGTTTTATATTTTCCATTTTCATTTACACTTTAAATATGATCATTACGATAAGATAAATGACTAAATTTGAAAAGGAAAACAAGGGATAAGAAGTGTAGTTAAAATGTAGAAAAACCACTTTTGATAATTTTCTAATTTTATAGAAAATTCGAAAACCAAAGTTTCCGAATTAGCTATTACCATGATTCATTGATCATTTATAATGTAAAAATAGGGACAAAAAATAGAAAACATTTTCTAAAACTAAACAGGCCCATAGTTTTTCACACGAAATATTTCTCTTTGTGATGGAGGATGAAGAATGCTAATGACAAGAACCTAACAGTATCCTCAACTGCATGTTAACAAAGTGTTACTATTATTTGTTACCATCTAGTGCAAACCGGAAAGTAGTAAAAGACTAAACAAAAGAATAATCTCCCTATCCTTCCTAGCCACATAAATTGTACTTAATATAAAAATTTTTCAAGAAAAATCATTAAATTGGTGAAAAAGGTTACAATCATAATACCTTATACCATCCACTATGGCATCCCAGCAAAAATGTGTGTGGCCAAACACATGACATGCAAAGGAACTACCTTCAATCCCATGTATAGACCTTATACGATCTTCAAGCCAATCAGAGCCAATGATTTTTGGGAGGTTTGGATAGAACAGCATTCTTTTTTCTGGACAAAGCTCTTGCCTGCAGAACAATATATACAAGCAACACTAAAACCTTGCCCAATGTATATGTGGAACCAACTATATGAACTTTGTTAATGGTGACATAAACAATTTTCAGGTTCAGGCTAACAACAAAAAGAATCATGCAATGATATTGTTCTTTAAAAAGAAGAAAAAATGTCCACACCTACACAGAATTAAATGGAGGTCTTTAGTATCAGCAGATAGCTAGCAATTTTTAGAGAGATTGGAAACCTGAGATTGCAACCAATTAACAAAAGTTTTTTGTTTAACCAATAGGCTAAAGTTTTCCTTACTGCCAATGTGCCTCAATGAGTTTCAAAGATATGAAGCTCATTTACCAGTAATTACAGAGAAATTGAATCTTAAAAACAGCAAACTCTTTGTTGACCAAACATGCTGTGAACATGATTTGCCAAGACAGACAATTTCACTGATACATGATATTTACTGGAAAAACTTAAACCATCTGTGACAAGTACTGTACAATCTATTAAAAAGTAAACAAAATATTTGATGATAAGGGTAGATTAGTATAATGTATTTCCTTTCAAAGATTTCTTTCCTTTTTCAGTACTGAATCAAGAAAATTTCATTAGAAAACAGCAAAAACAAGAACAAAACTAGTAAAAGATAGGAAGGAAATCAGACAAGAAACATCAAAATAAGGCAAGATAAAAGTGAAGTCAAAGGAAAACAGATAGAAGGCTAAAACTCCAGGTATGAAGAGCTTGCACCATATTGGTAATTAATAATCATTCTAAGCAGAATTTCTTCCAAAGATTATAGCTCACCACCCATCATTGGTTTACTGTTTTTGCTCAAATGATATTGAAGTATGAAGTTCTTTTAGCTCTTCCAGCATAGCTATTGAAACTTCCTCAAGCTTGTTCCCCATTTTCCTAAAACAAGGCCCCAACCTGGGTTCCAACTTCCTTTCTCTCATGTGTCCAATTAAGAGTTCTGCAGAACCTTTCCTAACTTCGTACATGAATTTCTTTGCTTGAAGGAGAGTGGACTTCTTGGATTTGATGGTTTTACACCATATTCTTGACTACTCTCCAAAGTTGTAACAGCAAATGCTGTGCCATTACTTTTTGTTTGCAATCCCACCCTCATCAATATCAATAATTTCTCCTTCACCATGTGAATTGGCTTATAGGGATTCATGCATCCTTTGCTGTTCTCTATTAAGCAAATGTGCTGTATTTATGATTTTTTCCATTTCACCCAGTGATTAATCATCAGATTTGGAGGCCTTCTCAACCATACAATTTGGATGACCACTATCATCTTGTTTTCCATGTTTAACCAGAGAATCAACAGAGCAGGTCTTTGCAATTCTTCTTGTCATTTGTGGTAACCTCTGCCTTGAATCAGCAGTATGATGACTTTTGCTATCAACAATTTGAATTCTTTTTTGACAATCTTTAATATAGAAAGGAAGCTTGGGGTAGTTACCTAGAGTAATGTTTAGTTATGGGGGAGATTGACACAAGGATTTTTAATGACCATTTTTGCTACATTGAGCATAAACTCTAAAATCCTTCTCATGCCTGAATTGGATCCAAAGGCATTCTTCTTTACTACTAATGGGATTAAGTTATACAAAATCTTCTAGCTGAAAACCAATTTATCTTGATACTCCTTGAGATACTGAAGTTGTTGATTTTCCTTTTGCAACAAGGTGAGATTGACTTCCAAATTTTGCTTTTCCTTTTCTGACCATCTTGATGACTGAATATGCTGCAACCAATTGTTTTCTAGTTCCAAAATATGCACTTGCATTTTAGCCTCTTCCTTTTCTTGCTACAACTTCTTGTTTTCTTGCGGCAATTCAATGATTTTACACTTAATCTCTGACTGAATGCCCTCAAGATCTCTCATTCTGGCTTTCAACTCAAAAGCCTCTACTGAAAAGGATTAGCCATTGGGAGAGTTCTGTAGCTGTAAAAGGTTAATTTTTTTGCCAAGCTGTGAACTTTGCATATCCATATCTTCTTCTCCTACTCCGTCTCTTTCAATCAAGATTCTAGTTTTTTCTTTTGCTCAATGAATTTCCTTTTTTGGGTTTTTTAATCCATCATTCTCCTGCTTTAGTTGCTTGAGTTCCTCTTCAATACCACTAAGAAACATAAACTAAAAACAAGCCTTTTGTTGTTCTTCGCCATCAAGTTGTCCAGTGTTATCCATGAACTCTTCTGTCAGTTCTTGAGATAGCTCTTAAGCATCTCCATGATTGACAGAAACCAACTCAGCTTAGCTAAAGGATACAGAAACAGAGATGCACCGCAACAAAAAGGAACAAAAAAAAGCTCAGATAAAATAGTCAAGGGAAACAAGCCAATGACCCAGAAGAAAAGACTTAAAAACGTCAAATTCACACAAGGAACCACCAAACGATAAAACTTTTCGAAAACCTAGGCCAACACCATCAGCCAAAGAAGAACAAGACAATGAAGACATTAAAGGACACTTTTTTTCAGAAAAGGACTATTTTTCTTTTTTTCTTTTTTTCCTTTAAGAGGTCAGAAAAATCTTGGAGAGCAGAAGAGAAGTAATCAGCTGCATCAGTGAAAGAAAGAAGGAAAGAGGGTTTCTTCTTTTGGCTGTCCTCTCAAAGACATCTAGTGCAAAAGTAATGATGAAATTAAGTTTTGATCCACTATGCTGTTAGACAAAAAGTAATGACCAAACAGATATAATTATATTACATAAATAAGCAGTTCTGATATTTTCTCTGGTAACAATATCCTGGTATAATTTTATAAATATCGGCAGCTAGTTCTCAAATTCCTTTTCTCTCATTCAGTTGCAACTAATTACTCAGGCTTTTTAACAAGACAAAGAAGTTACTGAACAACCAATTGTTTAGAAAGCATACAGAGAATAAAAAAATAAACAGTATAAATATTTAATCTTCAACCTCAACAATTCTGCAAGATTCCTTATTACTTAATGCAGATTATTAAATTTTATTTTCAATTAAAATAATTATTTTTACAATAAACTAATTGACTTTATAGAAAAAAGTAAAATAATTATTTAATTCAGAATAATAAAGAAATACTATATGGAAGCTAACATAATATTTGGTCTCTTCCACAAGGCTCTCCAGTCTCCAATTCAAAAGACTTTTCCTAAATAACCTCCCTTATTGCACTCCCCAAGTTCATTCCAAATTACTAAGGGCTTAAATAGTGTAAAAATGCCTCTCCCCACCTTAATGGCATCTACTTTTGTGTTTAGATCCTATGCTTAATGTGTTTAGAATTTTTCTTAAATCTGAGCAAGCTTACCTAAGTTCTGTTTTCCTTAAACTTAAATCTGAGCAAGCTTACCTAAGTTCTGATTTCCTTAAACTTTTACTGACACCTATATATCTGACAATCAAAAATAACTATCACACCTCTTAGTTTCCTCAGGATTCCTAAACGAGGCTGTGTTCCATGAAATCCGAATTACTGTCAGTTAATCCTCCTAATCACTCCTAAATCCAGGTTATGTTTTAGAATAGGTTGCAACCCCAGAATAGCTTGATTATTTTCTCTTTCTAGTTTCTCCCTCCAGCAACTAGAAAACCTCATGTTCACAGTTTCCACCATTCCCAATCACCTTTAAATAGTTCACTCATTTTCTTTATGTTAACATTTACATACAACTATAATCAATTGTACTCTCCCTATAATATGTACTTGGTGCTTGCCAGATCATTCTTGCCTTCACATGTACCTACCTATTTCTATCCTTCTCTAAATCCTCATAAATTTCATCCTATTTCTCTCTCAAAACAATGCTTTCCAACCAAAATTAACAAAACTATCCTCCTCTTGCCACCGCTGGTACATTACAAATTATAAGGAGCAATTATGAATCAGCAAGCAACTAGCTAAAACAAATCAAGAGTTTAAATGAGCATGCAGCTAACCTAGGAACAAAATGAGAAAATGTTATTATTTGGCTACAAGTCCTCTGGATCTGCTTCACAGTATCTTGGTTGTTTTCATTCATTGCATCAAAGTATAAAGCAAGAGAGGTGTCCCTGTTTGAAAGGTTGCAAGGCCACTTGCATGCACGAAAGTCCTTGCAAGCCTAGAGCAAAAAGAAAAAAAAATACATTACGAGCAAATGCATTTAATATTATCTCATGCTCCACCAAAGAAAAATCAGAAAACATGATAACAAAAATAGTCAATTAAAAGAAAATAAATAAGGAAAGGCAAGTAGGAAAAAGATAGTAAAAAATTTCCAAAACATTTGGAGATATGAATGAAGATGGAAATGCCTAAACATCAAACAAATTTTGATGGAAGATAATAAAAGACAATGAGTGGACATCAACACATAAGAAAACTTGTCTTACCATGTGATTGACCAACATATGGTACAAAAACAATCTACATTATGCCAGAGATTATAAACAAAAATCAGTTAATTATGCAGACTGTACAAGATGTCTTCATCAAATTGAATGAAGAGTAAGGGGCTACGGTCAGCCATGATACTACACTATTAAAGATTTATAGTTTGGAAATTCATTAACAGCAATGATCACATAAGTGAGAGATGCTGCTTCATTTTTCATGCAAATTTAACACTTTCAAGCTGTAGGTACTGCAGATATTCTCCATGGTTGTTTCAGTATTATCAGAGGGCATATAAACAATGGTTTCTTTTATTATAAGCATTAAGGTTGTGACCAGTATTATCACAATATTTTCTAACTCCAGAAAGAAAGTTATAATTATTGTGCATCCTTGGACAGTGAAAAAGTAAACAGAACAGCATTACAGTTCAGCACCAAAAAAAGGTTTCAAACACCTTAAAAGGGTAAAAGAAAGTGAATCACCATATCCAAAGACGGAATTCGAATCCCAGTTATGTCCTCCTCCCTATCAAAGCTCTGCAGTGTAAGAATTGCAGAACAAACAAAGAATTACTTTTATCAAACTAAATTTCAAAAGGGACAACTTTCAAACAGTCGAGCAACCAAGGAATATAAAAGTTAAAAATAAAAAAGAAAATCAAAATGAAACCATTTATGAAGTAATCACCTCATGGTACCAAGAAAACAAAGGAACAATTCCCAAGCCATCTATAACCACTGGATTGGTCTCAACTCCAAGTTGTCTACATGCATCAAGCAATTTATTCAGCTTCTGAAGAGAATCAAGCTGAAAACAAAACCATACTACTTTACTTTAAGATGAAAATTAATATAAGCAGCAAAGAAGCACTGCAATATAACAGAAACAAGTTGGAAAACAAGAATAAGGCACGGTGGCACTATTAAACATAGAGCAATGAAATTCGGTAAATAACAATACTTTCTCCTATGACCATCAAAGATGTTAGAGGTAAAATATATATCATAGAAATTATGCACATCTATTGATGAGGAAGGAAATCTTTAGAATTAAACAGAAACTTAAGTGACAAGAACTGAGACCAAATTGCAGGCTGCAGCTTTCAGAAAGACAAGAGGGCATTGACAAAATTTCCGGTATGGCTAGGTGACGAAATTGCCAATTCTCACAAGTAAACACATGATAAGAAACTAAAGAAGGTGCAATTTGTTTAAATATGTGACAAAATCGCTTATTCATACAGTAAATATACGTGGATTATATCCATAAATACATCTGCATATAAGCATGTGAACTTAAATTTCTTTCTCAAAAAAAACATATATTTTTCTTACATCATCTCTCTCCCAACGACACCAAAGATCATGGTTTCCAGGTACGTAGAAGACATATTCAAACCTGTGCCTCAAGAGAGACATGGTGCAAACAAAATTATCAAACACCTCTGCTACATCACCGGCAACAAGAAGAACATCTTTGTTGTTTCTCTTAGCGGGGATACTCCTCACCCATGCCATATTCTCTGGATAGTCGGTATGCAAGTCGGAGAGCACAAAAACCCGTAGGCCAAAACCATCTCTCAATGCAGTAGGTAATATCTGAGGCCTTTTAATGCAACCCCTCTTGATGCCTCTCCTATACTTTTTGCATGCTATTTTCTCGGAGAGATAATTTGAAGATAAGCTCAAGCATGGGACCATGAGTGTTGTTCAGTGAGTCTTAAGTGCAATGAAACAGCTGCGACGACCAAATTGCTTTGCTTAAAGCACAAGATGATTTTACAATAACCCAACCAAGCAAGGCAGCAATCACAAATCGAAATGCCATTGAATTACGAAAAAAGAAGGAGAAGAAGAAGAAGAAGTTGTGCGCACCTTATTATTTGGGATGCCCTTTCCTTCCGCCTTCCCTTTTAAGACAGATCTAAACCTACCCTTTCATAGCATACAGTCAGTCCTTCGTTACAATTTCTTGGTCTCTTAGGTCTATTCGTGGGTGTCGTGATTATTGGGACACAAGAATTGCAGGCTGTTATTCTGACTATCCTCTTCTAATAAGGGAATTAGAAGCAATCTTGGAAGCGGACGGAGCAGAGGTGCAGAAGGCCACAAAATTTCCCTTGGGAGTGTACGGAGAATGTGGTCGTTGAAAACTATCCCAATGATTAAGAATTGAGACACAATCCTGCCTCTCATATAGAATGGAAATGGCACAAGCTTCAAAAAAATCTCTTACTATTTAAATTTTTTTTTATAGTTTTATTTTTGATTAAAGTTGTTCTAATCGATTTTTGACTAATTTAATTAATCAAAATATTACTTGTTATTTATACTTATGTAATATTGACAATGTACTAATGTGAAGCTTGAAAAATATTATATAAGCATATCCAGATGTGTGGTTCAAGAACTCGATCACGTCGATCTGAAATTTGGAGTCACGTAATCATTGTCATAATATGTGGGTTCAAGAACTCGACCGTTTCAACATAGATATTTGAAGTCACCACCAGTCTTTTATTTCAATGTGATTGACCATTTGATTAATTTTTTTTTTTCGACAAAATCTTAAACTAATTTTAAGTTCATCTAAAAACAAAGCTTGATTTATGTATTTTAAAATTAGGTTTGAGGGTATGGTTATGCATGGTAAAAGATTAGCAACCCTGATGCTTATTCAACGAACGGTACCAAATAATCATATATTATCATATCTTAGTCTTAATTCTTGATTTTATTCCTATATATATTTCCTTAATCATTATTCATTTTGTTAATTAGTTCATTATCTTTGGTTTTATTCTTGAATAAAAATCTTTTATTGATGTTAGCACTAAACATCTTATGTTTTAATTTGATAAAATTGCATGATATCTTAGTTTTGATCTTAAGCATATGAAATTGTCTAATATCATGTTTTGATCCTCCTAAAATTATTCAAATGTCTGAAAAGCAAATTCATGATTATAAATAATCACAAAGCTTTTCAAAACATTAAGTCTTCAGCTGCGTATATACAAAGCAAGCATACTTTAATTGATACTTGATGATAGCAAAGAAGCATGAAAGAAAGAGCTGAAGTGAAAAGTCAAATTGATTTTAAGAGTCAAACACACCTAAATAGTTTTTAAGTTCGTTTAAAGAATAAAGCTTGATCTATGTATTTTAAGAATAGGTTTAAGAGTATGGTTACGCATGGCAAAGGATTAGCACATGTAACGCTCATTCAACGAACGATACCAAATAATTATCTATTATCCTATCTTAGTCGTAATTCTTGATTCAATTCCTATATATATTTCTTTAATTATTATTCATTTTGTTAATTATTTCATTATCTTTGGTTTTATTCTTGAATAAAAGTTTGTTATTGATGTTAGGATTGAACATCTTATGTTTTGATTTGGCAAAATTGTATGATATCTTGGTTTTGATTTTAAGCATTGGCAATTGTCTAATATAATGTTTTGATCCTTCTAAGATTATACAAATGTTTGAAAAACAAATTCATGATTAGAAAACATCACCAAACTTTCAAAACATTGAGTTGTCAATTGAGTAAATATAGAGCAAACATACTTTGATGATATTTGATGAAAGGAAAGAAGCATGGAAGAAATAGCTAAATTAAAGAGTCAAAACGTCAAGGAATATTGAAGACTCAATGCAAAAGTCGAACCTAGAAAAAGCCCCAATCGACCCTATGGCACAATGGTTGAAGAATGACTAAAAAATGATGAAGTATAGAAGGCATAGTCGACCCCATGAGCTTCATAGTCGATCTTGTGGCAAGGTTGGATGAAAATGATGGAGATCCAAAGCCATAGTCGACCATGAGGCAAAATGCAAGCATAATTTAACTTTTGGATAGCCATAGTTGACCCTGATGAAGTTGCAGTTGACCTTGAGGCAAAAGACTTGCAAAATTCGAAAATTTAAAAAGCCATAGTCAATCTTGATAAAGCTATAATCAACTATACAAAGTCAAACTTCAAAATCACGAGCTTCTGGAAGTGGATCAAGTAGAAGCCTTCAAGAATAGAGTATAAAAGCCCTAATTCATGATTTTGATGAACCGTAATTGGCTTTAGAAGTGTGGCAGTCGACTTTCAAGCTTGGCCAATTGTTAGTTTGGTTAGCTCAATAAAAATAATGAGGGAATATCCAAGAAAAGGATGAATTGGATTTCAAATATTCTTTTCAATAACTTGAGCTTTTGAGCTTGATGATAGGTTTTCAAAATTTGTTTTCACTTTAAAATAAACCAAAGGAAATGAACAAACAAACTAAAAACAAATCTTCAACACTCTTCATGGTGAAGTGAAATGCTTAAATATAAAATGAAAAGTAAGTGAGCCATGAATAAACTTGCTCTTTCATTTAAATACTCTAAAACAATTTTCTTAAAAAAAGCACAAACTCAAGAAGAAGGAAGATTCATAAACTTGCTTTTTCTTTTAAATCATATGAAAAACAATTTGGTAACCAAATGAGCAAGTGACTTGAAAACAAAATCTCAAGGCTTTTCAAAAAAAAGCGCATTAATAAAATGTGGAAAGCAACTTGAAGAGTAAATTAAATAATAAAACCAAATAAGTGCAAATTTTTAAGACTTTTCAAATCAAGGTGGAAAGCATGAGTATTTCAAAGTGAATCAAAGTGTTTTGAAGAGTGAGTTGAGGAAAAATAGTTTTGAACTCAAATATTCAAATTTATTTATGGGACAGTAAAATCCACAAGTAAGGAGTAGTGAAGATTAGAGAAAGGAAGCACAAGTTCAAAGAAAGGAAGAAGAGAGTTATAAGTGACTTTCTAAAACTCCTTCAAAACGAAATATGCAAGTTAAAAAGTAAAGAGAAGTGAGAAAACACACAAAGTATTTATAGAGGTTTGGCTCTTTCGATAAGTGCCTACATCCTCTTCTTGGTTCACTAAGGAATTCTCAATCCACTATAAAACTGCCTTCTTAAAGATCAAGCATAACTTTTACATATTGCCTTTTCGAGAGGGTCAAGCATAACTTCACATTGCTTTTTCATATGATCAAGCATAATCTACACTGCCTTTTTAAGGAATAGACATAACCTCAGACTTTTACAAGATCAGGAAGAACTTTAGCCTTTTCAAGGATTAGGCAAAACCACAACCTTTTCAAGGATCAGGTAGAACCTTAGCTTTTTCAAGAATCAAGCAAAAGTTTTACATCATTGCATTTTAAAGGTTCAAGCATAACCTTTTCTCTCTTACAACATTAAAGTTTGTTGGTCCCATTGGAGTACTAGAGGGGGTGAATAACACTCAAAATTTTAAGACCAGCCTTTTGTAAATTATAGAACTTTGAACTAATTGGAGGAAAAAAGAGTGAAAGTTTGTAGCAGCTAAAAGACACCTAGTAATGAAAGATAGAGAAAAGTGGATAATGTAAGAGTATTTATAGTGGTTTGATCCCCTTGACCTATATCTGCTACCTTGATCTTCCAATGAAGAATTTTTAAACTAATTTCACTATACTAGTGAAATTAACAACTTCCACCAAGCTTTAACAAGGTGAGCTGCTAACTCAAGCTTTAATCCCTTACAACAAGTTTTATAGTGCTTCCCACACTTTAATTTTCCAAGAAGGAGAAGAAATAAATGTACAACTAGAACTCTTTACAAATCTAGAAAGATTACAATAAAGCTTAAACACTTTTTCTAAAATAAAAATGAAGGACAAGCGTTTTTGGTGAAAGATATTTGGCTTTTTGTTCAAAAATGGCTCTCTTTTCATTTAATCTTCTTTCTTGGATCTTTAGAACTTCCTTTCATAATTAGGGAGTTAGATTTTTCTGTTAGAGGCAATTTTCTAGCCGTTGGAGATAACTCTTATACCATTCTAACCATTATTTTGTCCTCCAATGCTTAAATTCAAATGGGTAGATAGAGTTCGGCTAACTGGTTACAGGTGCCTTTAATCGATTATCACTTCTTTACCTTGAACTATCTTGCTTATGTGTGCTTTGTGTTAACTGATTACAAGAGACTCCAACCAATTAAGAAATCTCCGTCTTTACACTTTTTTACTTTAGTAGATGTCCTTTAACTGGTTATGATAACTCTATTGTATAGAGTTATTTTTGATAAATTTTGGAGGCTTAAGTAGCTATAACTTTGAGATTTTAGGTTTGAATTGTAGCATTTTAGGTGTCTTTCTAGTTTAAATTTGATTACATATTGAGTAGTTAATTTAAGCTATTTTAGTTAGATTTTATGTTTTTTTGTTTTAAATTATTTTAATAGTAGTTATTGTTGGTTTCACTTATTGCTTTTGTAGGAAATTTGATAAAAAATGCTCATTTGATGAAAATCCATGCAAGTATGGTGATAACTTTATTTGTATATGTTTTGGTATTTGACCATATCTCTTTATACAAGGCTCTAAATGAAGTGATTCATGGACCAATAGACTCTTAGAGGATTATGTTTACCACTTCACATAGTTTTGATTGGATTATGGTCAAAATATTTGTCTAAGTCAAAGTACTATAGTAGTATCCATGGACTAAACATGATTTGGTATTTGGAGCATATCTTTCAACCCAGAAGTCCAATTGATGTGATTCTTAAACCATTGGAAAGTTAAGACATAGGGCTACCAGCTTGGACTAGAGCTGACTGAAAATTACGTTTAAAGTTAATAGATCACCATAGCATTGGAAAACATGGCCGTAACGCTAAGCTAAAATGGTGCACCATATATTTTCCCAAGAGCATAGCGCTATGGTGCTGAAAAAGTAGTGCCATAGTGCTTCCAAGGAAAAAATTCAGTGTTGTGGGACCAAGAAATCAAGGCACAATGTTGGATGATTTTCCATAAATAAAAATTTGATGAGATTTTGGAAATTAGGTCACTTTGAGCCTATTTTGGAGACATTTTTTAGATGTTTTAAGGAGGAGACAACAAGCAACTATTTTGGAGATTTGAAACTAAAAATCAAGCAAAAAAGCAAGAGAATTTGATAGAGAATTGAGATCATAAAACTTCAATGATTAGTTTCTTTCTCTACTTTTGTGTTTCTTTATTTTCTTTGACTTAGATTCATGGTTAAATTTCTTTGGATATTGTTTTTATTAAATATTATTAGCTAAATTATTTTTTTAGGATTGTGGTGGATTTCAACATATAGTTTGAATATTAGTTTT